AATGACAGAAAAAGAAAAGTTGTGTACCCAAGAGTGGTTTATATTCAACAGGGATAGACAAGAGATCCTTTGACAGATTTTGAAAAATCATGTATACACTTTTAGTTAATATAAATATATATATTATTATTATACATGTTTTAGTTAATGTTTTAGTTAATATTAATAAACTCCATCATAACTTAGTTTTTAATCGTCCAAAAATGTCAGCAAAACATAAATGAATATAACAATATAAACCGTATATAAACACCACATAAATACTATATAAACACTATATAACAAACGTACTTGCCAATGCATAGATGATTTTATTGTAAATATCCTTTATTAAGAAGTCCTGAGAAGCAAATTTTTTTTGTCATCACCACTAAATACAAATACTAAAATTTAAAAATCTAATATAAAATCTTTTTTCTTTTGAACTCAAATAAGATCTATATGATGCGTTTGAAAGTTAACAGTTTCTTTAAAAAAAGAGATGTTTGTATTACTTGTAGATTCGATTTGATTAATATGGCAATCCAGTCGAGGCTCTCACACGTGACAATCACTCTCCGTATTTTACTGATTTGGTATGGCAAATATAGACGTCAATATCATCCAAAAAATTTATTTAAAGTCCCAAAGAACATACTGACCGATAATCTTATTCCATATGCTTTTAGATCACACAAATAGCTGTATTTAGGAAGAAAAAACCTTTTTAAATAATATTAATCTGTTTTGCAATAATTGTAAATTTGTATATTTAAAAATCTTACTGCAAACTTCGGAACACTGACAGATTTATTCCTTTTGTTAGTATTTTACATATAAAAAAATATACCACTAATTATCTATTAAAGGGCTGTCCAAAGCACGGTTACATGCGGGCCACGGCTAATGTTGGAGCGGCCCGTGACATAATTTAATCTACTACAATTACGCAACTTTTCTTTGGTGTAGATCGTATCTGATTTGGACAGCCGTAATCTATGGTATATGTGCCACTTCGACTTAATAAATATGGTAGTCATAATTAAATCAATTTATTTTAAAATTCCTGCAACATTGCTTTTTTAAAATATGTTTTCGTTTCTGAATTAACTAAAACGTTTTTGTTATGTACTCTTGAGTTAGAGGATTAACTTTTTAAAGATAAAAAACGCTCACTTAATAGATACGCTTAGTATTTGTACTGCAGATAAATATTTTTTTGCACTTTTTAACTTGAAAAATGTACTCGTTTTGGCAAATTTTGAACCTTTTCTTCTGGAAATGAAAAAATTTGTTTCCATTTAATCTCAACTCATAAAAATAGCTTTATTACTTACTAATGTGGATTGTATGATTTTATATTATATTTTCATGTTTTTTGAAAAATGATACATTTTTGTTAGAAATTCACAGGCAAATATTTCTAAAGAATTTACAATGTTATTTGCGTTGAAAACTTTTGGTATTTATCAAAGGAGATAAGAATATGCGTAATGAATTGTATTTGTTGCTTTGCCCTTTTGATTGTATCTGCTAAAACAGAATAGCCAACGCCATGAACTCTTAACAAATAAAAAAAATAAAAATACTATGGAAAAGAATTTCTGTGGAATATTTTTCATATGATATAAAACTATGTGTGTGTATAATATATATAAATCTTTTTTATATTAAACAGATATATATATAATATATATACCTTTTCTTTGCCATTTTCCAAAAAAAAGTTCGATTTTAAGTTAGAGAATTATTTTATTTTTTTTTTATTTGACAGAAACTAGAATTACTATAACAAAAGTTATAGTGAAGAAAAATATTCAAAAACTAGGGTTTGGAATTTTAATTTTTTTTTTTTGAAAAAAATCTCTGTATGAAATATAATAAGTTTCTATTAAAAATAATAGTCACTTCCGTCTGGAAAATTTGACGTTAAAAATTACAACTAATATTCACAAAATATTGGTCTCGCCCGTGCGATTAGTGGAGTAACATTAGCATGACTTTCTCAGCATTACGTTCCTAGATTAGGTTCTGTACATAAGAAAGAACAAATAATGCAACAAATAATGCATCTGCGAACGGAATAGTATTGAAATATAATATATATATATATAATATAAACACAGTAAGTAAAATTGTTAATAAAAAAACTTTCATAGCAAAATTAACAAAACTCCAGAAATATATGCGAATATAAAGAAGTCAAGTACAGCTTTGGATCAGTTGGTTTACGTTCGCTGATTCTGAGCTTCGCATTTGGCAGAATCCGAGTTCGATTCCTGGTACTTGCAGTCTCAAAAATAATTATTTACGAATAATTAAATACAAGAATTATTTCCAAGACCACTGATGATAGGTATTTGGCAATACTCGAAACAGCTGTATGGTCAGCCAAAAATTCAATTAATTAAAATAATATAAAAAATAAATTTTTGTTGTTGTAGTTCACTATTGTTCGAAAAAAACCTCTATATTTTTTTTTTAGAATTTCAGAATTTTGTTATCATTCTTGGAAGGCCGATGAACAATTTCTTTCACCGAATTTTCATCATTACTTTCGTTGCACTTAAATTCGAATCCACTATAATCAGATATATACAGAGCTATAATGTTTAATGTTATTATTATATAGCTATTTGATATTAAGAAAACGAAGTATTAGTTTTCTATCCACGTTCAATGTTAATATATATCAATTCAATAATATTAATTGATTATTAAGAAGTTTTAAATTGCAACTCAGATCCTTGTTAAATTAATATAAAAAAGAGTTGGAACTTTATGTTTCCTAGTAAAACTTAAAAGTTTTTATTTATTGATATAAGTTATAACAGACGTTAACTGTTATGATGGAAGTGACTATTGTACTTAATAGAAACTAGTATATTTGGTTAAGAGGTTTCGAACAGTAGCGAACTGAAAACACAAAAAATCCTTTTTTATATTATTTTAATTAATTTTTTTATTGAAATTGACCCATGGCTACATTAAGCATTAGTTTCTTCAAAAATGATTAACTGAGTTCATAAAATATCCCTTAGAGAATATCCTTATCCTTTGTAGATTAGATTTGAAGAAAATGTTTCCTTAGTGGATCATTAATTCGAAGGTATCTGAATATATTTGTAACTGTTTTAGGGCTTTTTAATATTCATACTTCAACTTCTTCAGTTTTAAAAATATGTGTAATATTTTCTTTACTATTTTTTAATAAAATTAAGTTATGTTAAATTAAAACCTATATATCATATAACTAATGATATATTCATTTACTAAAATGAAGTGGTTTGAACTTATGAAAAGGTAAAAAAAAAATAGGTTAAACAGTCATTTTGGGATCTGAATTATATTAAGCTCATATTAATTAATACTACAAATATAAACTGTCTCTCCATAATTGTATATTTCTCTGATTACAGTGACTATTTATTGGTCATTTATAGTTGATACTTATCGTTCTATCTGATTAAGTAAATAAATGGAATTTGATGGCATCAGTATTTAACAATTTGAAAGCACTGATAATACTAGACTACAGCAAAGTGGAGATAGAATTGAGAACGATGATTAAGTAAGGTTTTGTTCACTCAGGACTTTCACACCAAGAGAGAAGAAGACGGAGGTTCAGACTCTGCTTCATGAATTTAAATCTATACAATTATAAATTTGTAAAAAACTTAAAAATTTTTAAATTTAAAAATTCGTGAACTTAAGTTAGTGTTATTTAAAAAAAATAAAAAAAATTACAAAAAACTTGGAACTTGAGCATTGTAGTCCAAACAAATTAAATGCCAACTATAAATTAATTTAAAAAAAATTCGAATATTTTATAAGACTACTATTGAAAAGTACTTTGCTATACTCGAAACAGAGTTGTATAGTCAGCCAAACTTTAATTATTTACCAAAACTTTTCATTGTTGTCTTTTCATTTCCATTTGAACCCTTCTAACTTTTAAATAGTTTCTTTTTGTCATAAGCCGCATCACCTTCGACAAAAAAATTAATTTTGTTAATGTTTTTGTAAAAATAAAATTATTATAATATGAATGCAGAAGATTTTACTTATGTGAGCTTCTTTATCATTGATTTATTGCAGAATTTGGAATGCAATTATTATTGTTACCTAACTTTAATGAATTTTTTATTATAGCCATCACAAATTTGACCTTCTGTGAGATTTAATTTTATCTTATTCCCTGATAAAACTTAGTGATGTGTTCACATTCACACTTAAGAAAAGTTAAGGCGAGAGAAGTTTTGTATGCCAAAATGTGGAAAAGAATTTTTAATTATTTTTGCTAGTAATAAATTATTAAATAAATTTAGTAATTTTTTCGCCACTTGTTAACTTCTAATTAAATAGCTGCTAATTATAATATACTTTAAAATAATGTTATTTTAAAAAAGTTGGTCAACTGTTGAATTTCATATATAACTTTTTACTTGTATTATTCTAATTTATATACTGAAATTTTAAAAAATCTATTTATATTCAGTCTAAGCCAATTGTACACAATAAAATATGTTAAAAGTGATATAGAAAAAAATGTGTAAAAATCGTGCAAAAATCCCCCTTAAAATTTTAAAATAGCTACTAAACTAACAAAATCATTATCACACAATGTTAAGAAAATAAAGAAGAAAATATCTTATTATTATTTATCTCTAAATATGTAGCAGCAAAACGTTTATATACGTAAGCCAACAACAAAACAGAAAACAATGAAAATCTGAAAATCTTGAAATCTTGAACTGCTTAAGTCAGTAAGAAATTCATTTCTTATCAAAATTATCAGTTGTGATAAATCTCTGAAAAAACAAACGAGAGCGAAGCTAGATAGAATAGCAAAACAGAGATACGCAAAAGCCAGATAAATTAATTGTCTACAAATTAAATATATGATTTTACATAATTTGTTTATAAATATATTTATATATATTTACTTAATTTTATATATTATTTTTTTTAATAATAATTTTTTTTTAATCTTTTTCTTTGTAATTTTTCTTTGGACGTAGCTAAAATCAAAATGAAGTCAGAAGACAAAAGTCCTACTTCTCGAGTCCGTCTAGCTGTGATTGGCAGCGGTGGCGTTGGTAAATCCGGTAAGTTTCTTGCTTGTTTTTCATGTAAATATTTCTTACTTGCTTAAGATATTCATAATATATATTCATTTGTTTATAAAAAAAACTACGCACAAAAATTGTAAATATTTTTGTATACTTAAAAGAGGAAATTTTGATAAATGCTTAACGCTAAGCCAATATATGGTAGCTTAAACGGATTTAATAAGTTGAATGCCTTTCATTTGCTTAAACAAATAAAAAAGAAAATCTTAATTAAATCTAATTAAAAGCTTATATGTTTCCTTAATAATAAAAATTTTATTTCTGAACTTTTGTCAAAAACCTTGTTAAAAGTTCTATACTTTAGACACTTTAGAAAACACTTTAGACGGTACTTTCATCGCAGCCATTAAAACATTGAACAAAAAGATATTTTATGTTTATTTGTCACAGATAAAATATACTTAATCATGTCATGCCTAAATAGAAATTATTATATTAACTATACAGATTATAATAAAATTAATGAATCATTTCCTTACAAATAATTATATGTAGAGTACTCATTTCCAGTTGGGAAGTTGTCTCATTTCGCAAATATTAATTTTAAATTAAATTCTAATAAATTTTAAAATAAATGTATAAAATAAATAAATAAAATTAATTTTAGTGTTAAAAAAAAATAAATTTGAATCATGTTATATTGTGCTTATGGAATGATTTTCTTTTAAAAAACGACATATGGTATACTCACTTGTTTTTAAATTATTTATTCTATGGAAATAAACACGAATTATAAGAAATTAAGAAGATATTTAGAGATATGCGTTTAATTGTTATTGTTATCTGGACAAGACTTTAGTATGTAATGGCACTGTGTAATTTGCATGATGTATTGAACCATCCATAAAATAATTGGTAAACTTACAAAACCAACCTTCTTTTGAAAGGTGGTTACTTATATTACTTATATATATATTACTTATATTTACTGTGAATATTCATTTGATATAATATTTCTGCTTAAGAAAACCAATTTCTTTATATTAGAATAAAAGAATAAATAGTTGTTATTTATTTAATGAAACATATTGGATGTATTGTTATGAAATACTAATTCAATACCAATATGAGTATTACATACAGGAAATTTAAGTTATATTGATGAAGATCTGTTAGTATGTGGATTTTCTAATATCGTACTATAACATATATTAACTTATTGACAAATATTAATTATTAACAAATATTAATCTTCTTTTTATGGAGATCAAAAAACAAAAAAAAGAAGTGGATTGGTCATGTTCTAAGCACAAATAATGACAGGATTGTCATCATTTTCTCTTAATAAAACTAATGATGTCAATTAACTTTACCAAACAAAAATGATAGCCTTAGTCCTTTGAAGACAATAAAAATGAAAATATTTACTCTGGTATACTGAAATCTGGATACCACAAGTGTCGAAAATTGGTTGCTAAGTCAGCAAAAAAAGGAACATGTCTATACTTTCTACATCATGATAACGCACTAGCTCACACTACTAACAAAATAAATAGCTTCATTACGCTTTCAAGGATTCAAAAAAATTCGCCCAGCACTTTAATTTCTGAATCATATATTATTTGATTTTATTTAAAAAACAAAATAAAAATTGGGAAATTGGAAAATTGGAAAATTGTCTTCTGCAATAATTTGAAGAAAATTACTCCAGTTGATTTTAAGTTGCAAACGTCGAAAGAAACCTATTTTGAGGACAGTTTTAGAAACTGAATATGCTGGCTTCTCTTAAGTAGACAAATACATAATACATAAATACAAATACATAAATAATACAAAAATATCAAATAAAATAACGGATGATGAGTACATATTATTTATAAATTCAAACTATTCTTCTATCGAAAATATTATAAACATTATGTTGCCATTAATCTTATAATATACGATCTTTCCAATTTTTATTTAAACTGAATAATAATAAATGATAATATACACACTGCCATACGTTGAATTGTTAGAAACTCATATTTAAATTATCATCTCCAACCTTATTCATTTCTGACCTTCAAAAATATCATCATATTATTACAAAATCAATCTAATCATTCTTAACAAGTACTTATAAGCGTTCCGTTAATAATATTATTGTTTATCTTAAATTTTATTTATTCTAAATAAACACTCAGATTAATAACTGAAGACATTATCATCATTATCATACCCACCATGGATATCAAAATCAGATTATTATTTTTATAAAACAAGATACATATTTCGCCATGGTTATATATTCGTAAATAGCATGAACACCTATTTTTTCAATGAATAAAGTAAAAACTTTAAAAGTAAATATATGTATGTCTAGAGGTTTAACTACTTTCAAATGTCATCAATATACTAATTTAATATTTATCATATCAATGACATTATCTTTCATTTTGTATTTGTACTAAGTTAGTTCTTTATATATATGTATGTGATATACCTAATGTACTTAGCTGTTATCAGTAAGTTGAGTATTATTTATTTTATTATTTTATTCATTTTGTTCTTTGATTCCTTTAATCCACTTGAAACTTATCTAAAAGTTACTTCCTCTATCTCAACTTCAAAATATGATTTATAGTTATTTGAAACTTAACTGAACTATAGTTTTTTAGTTTAGAGTTAATTATGGCAAGATTTTGTTAGTGATATTATAATAACACAAGGAAGACAATAAAATTAATCTTCTTTAGTAAGTTTTAATAATAAGGCTTTAATAAATTCTTGGGTATTTTTAAGAAGTTATATTATTAATGTCTTTTTACCATTTTAATTGCTCGTGAATTTTGTATTAATTAAAAAATTAATTTCAATGTAGTAATAGTTTTAACAATATTTAGATAAAATAATAATTAATTCATCTCAATGAAATCTGATTTTATTAAGAACGCGATTATTTTAAAAATGTAGTTATATGTTAAGGTATAGGAAATTTAATTAATATGTATACATAAAAATTTATCATAGTTAAATAATAATTTTTAATATGTAAATAGATTACATGAAATTTACATTTTTAAACTATAAAACGATGAACCAACACAAAAACAAATATAATCCATCACTAGTCTTATCACGTTATTATCAGTGCATCATGACAAGCTTGAGACTAGAACATTTCAACCTAACTCACAGCCACTTGCTCAAAAGGGATGTATAACAAACATGACTCAAATGTGAATATATTCTAATCATGAGTCATCTCATAAATTTGTAAAACAACCCAATTAGCTACACCAGCCTTTTCAACCCAATCAAGAATAGCAACTACAATATAATAAAGCTACACCCACCCAAAGACATACTAAATAAAGTTTAGATATAATTCTTAAAAAGAATATAAGCACAGGTCAAAGGTTGTAGCAGTACAGTTCTTTATTCTTAGTTAACTTTAAAATTAATTTTTAAGACTTAAATTTTTACTTTGTAGAATAAAATAAAGTATAGCAACTGAATAAAACCAATTTGAATATATATCAGATATATCATTTAACACTAATAGTAATTTAAATATTAATTTACAGGTAATTCAATTAAAATTTCTAGTACATTAAACGAAATCAGCAAGAGATTTAAGGAAAAATTAAAAACTTGCTTCAAAGTGTAAGCTTTGAATATCTCAGACCAGATCTGTCCAAAGCACGACCCGCGGGCCGCATGTGGTTTTGACAAAATGTAGAAATTTGTTTAAAACAACGCTTTAAATATTTTTCAAAAATTAGTCTTAATTTGTGCAAACATTAATTAGACTCTCAATAGTGATTTCTAATTTTCATAAAACCATTACTCATACGCACTGTGAACATTTTTAGTGTGAGCGATCACACAAAGTCTAAGCAATTTATTTGCTCTACTTTGAAATATATTTGACTTAAATTAACAGGAACTCAGAGATTTCTTATCTTAGTTCAAGTATTCTTTTTTTCTCTTCGGGATATGTTTTGTATAAATAATAAGAGGCAAAATAATAAAAAATATACTGGGCTTTAGAGCATACTTTAGCATAAGTTAACCTAAATTATTTTCTACACAATTGAATAGAGCATAGACTAAAGTGGATCATTCAAGTGACCTTTGTCATTATTAAGCAAAAGTGTTTTATTGGTACAATAGGACTCTTCTGACCGCAGTACCGGCTGTTGTGCGATTTCACGTTAAAATTTAAAAAAAGAAAAAAAAAGTAAAAGTGTTTATGTACTTCATTAAGTGCAAAAAGAAAAAATGTCCACAAATTGATATAAACGCACTAGGTACTACCAGCTAGCATCTGATCGGGATACTAGCTTAAATTATTAGACGTGCCCAAATACGACTCACGACTTTAATGATCAACTAAATAAGTAAGTAACGTCCCTAGCAAAGTTACTTTTCATACGACACAGTGCAATAAGAACACAAATCAAGAAAAACATGGAAGCAAGTAAGTAACGTCCGTAGCAAAGTTACTTTTCATACGACACAGTGCAATAAGAACACAAATCAAGAAAAACATGGAAGCATGGAGTTCAAATTTGGTTGAAAAACAACTCCATATTTTTACTTTAAATAAAGATATTGTGTGAAACTCTGCTTACCAAATAATAACTGTTGTCGTGGTAGTTACTCTGCGAATAAGGAGGTAACCGTATTCCACCTCATGTAACGATATCCATTATTGGTTAGGAATAGATTTAAATTCTTTAGGGTTCGATTTTTCATCGACCTAGCACAGCTATTATCCTTCAAAATTCAGAACTTGCACAAGTTTATAGACTTGCCAGTTTACTTCCATTCAAATGACAGGCTCGTGCATTTCAGCGTTGAGTGTGTGCTAACCACTGCGTTTCTTTTGGGAATCTGGTTCATTTGGTCTGTATATGAGCAACGGTTATTTATTTTATGGTAACAAGCTTGTAACATATTTGTTTTCAAATGGGTTCACATCCTTTTTCATCTCTTTTGTGCGCAAAGTCTCCATTCTAATCTAAACCAAACTAGAGATATTGAATGAC